CACATTCATCAAGGATTTTCTCCATTGAGTGCAAGCCAGATCTGCTTCTTACACACATGAGGCGGTACAGAACTGATCAGATAACTCATTGTTGAGGTTCCTGCAAATTTCAAGAACGGGCTGTCAGAAAAAACTCACAAGTTGAAAGTATACACCCTGAACTTCTCATTAAACTTTACAAGCATGGATGCAAACCAAATCAAATAACATTGGCACAGAGAATTGCAACAAACCCCAGCAAAGTTTCTGGTGTTTGTACCTTGTCTCACATCTGCTGCAGCATCTCCATCTAGGAGTAAATCTTCATGCCAAGTCACTCTGTCTGCACCTGTAAATCAGTTCAGGTAATAGCTCTGGAACTCAAGCCAACCAGCACAGCAGTGCATGTGGCTGTTCCCTCTTGGCCCCATGACAAGGTGGTCCCTTCCAAAAGCTTGGGAAGCAGCTCCTGGCCTGTGCTAAACCCAAGGCATGCCCAGACACCATCTGTGAGAAGGACGGCTGGCTCCCTCTGAAACTGTGCTCAGGACCATGCTAACTAATTATCTGCACAGCCTCCTCTATGGCAATATTTATGTTAATTAGGGGCCTTGCTAATACTGTTGTTACTATTACCATGACACTACGTTCCACCCCAGTGCAGGGCAGAGGGTGTAACGGCATTTTGTAAATAACCAAATGAGCCTCACAGTACCCATTCAGAGAAGGACATGGTTTTTACCCAATTTACAATCTAGGAGACTGTGGGATCAAAAGACTACCCAATATTCTTCTCTTCAAGGAAATGATGGTAAAGAGCCAAGAATAAGGGATGGAATTCCTGATTCTTATTGCTCACATTTAGCTGCTGGGCCACTACCTATGATGTTAAATTATTCATCATTTCTCACAGGGAAGGCAGGCATGCACTCAGAAGAGAAGCGGGGTGCAAGAAAAAGGGTTATCAAAGTATTCACACACTCTTTCAAAAGAGTTAGTTAACTGACAAAAAATACGCTGCTGTAATGCATTTTCATGTGTAGGCAGCAATTCTCCTCTACATCCTAGGGCTGGAATCCTGTGTGGGGAAAACTGAACTGCTCAGTATATGTAAAAGACAGGCCTCATTAACTCTTGGACATCTTCTCATTTCTTGGTCATAAATCCTATTACCTTGCATTACAAACTGCCATAAAACTCACAGATAAAAGATAATTTATGCTCAGTGTACAGAAGCTAATGTTTCTGTACTCCTGAGAAGCACACAACCAGAAAATGAGAAAGTATGTATGTGAAACCTTAAGCCATTCATATTGAGCATGGCTAGCATGATAAACATGACTCTAAGGAAATTATGCACTTCAGCCAGGGTATAGTCTAATGGTAATTGATATTACCAAATTTTGAACATAAAATGTATGAACTCTTGCATAAAATATCCTGCTTATAAAGACTGATTACTCCTCATTAAAAATTCAAGCTTTCCTCCCTCCCCCAGTACAGAATGAAATATGACATCTATTCAGTACACAGGTACATTTTTTTTGCCTTTTTGCCTTTTTTTTTTCAAACTCCAATCATCAGATAAAAAAACGCTTCATAACAAGCATCACATCCTAGAATTCTTACAAAGTTTCCCTGTTTCTGACTCCTATCCTAATTAGTGTTGCATGGCACACAAAAAATAACAGCCCTTGGAGTTGGCAGAATCAAAGGCAGCTCAATCTTTTATTTGCTTTTTCTCTGAAGCAATTTAAATTGCTCAGACTTTGGCACTGATTTTAACTGTATTGGTTATCTGCTCAAAGGAACATTTTGCTTTAGTGAAGACTGAGCAAATGTTCTCATTTAGGCTGCTTGTCATTAGTTTTCCTTTCCCATTCAGACAAAAGAAAATCTTTCACTGTCAATTTATAAATTCTGTAGTTACAAACTATGTTCTCATTGTGTGGGCCCTTCCTTAGGTGCAACTCATTTCATGCCTGCTTTATTTTCTTCAATATTTTATTAGTGGTTTGACATATATTGGAATTAATTTATCTACATTTACATACTTACAGTCTATATATCTACATTTCTGCCTCCCACCCAGTTTCTCCATAGAGATCATGTAGACAGGAATTTATGGGATGTAATTATTCCCATCTTTTTCCTCTTTTCCTTACCGGAGCTCATCCTTAAAGGTCAGAAATGAACATTAGAGAGTTTACTTCCTTGAGATTTTCTTCACTTTCCATGTCAAAACATTTTTATCTATATATTTCAAAAACTTGCACTGTCTGTCTATTTCCCAAGAAATGCCTCAAAGCTGTAATTACTTGGATAATGTACTCGAATTCAGCACTTGGATAATGTTATTGGCTGATAAAAAAAGGCATTGTTTAGCTGGTCCACCTTGCCTGGAAGTCTGCACTGGATCCCAAATCAGGCATTGTCCTTGCTGTCTTCCTCTTCCAACCCTGAAGACTTTTAGCAAGTCCATAATGTTTCCTGCAATGCTGTGGACCCTTTACAAGCATGTTAAACATTGATGTATTTCTTCTACCACAACCTTCTTCTCCAACATCGTAACAACGTGAAATCTCTCTGTTTCAAACAATTAATAGATTTTTGGTGGCCTTCGATATCTACTTACACCATCCTCCTCTTAGTTTCTGCACTGGTAACTATAAATTCAGCAGCTTGACTTGTTGCTCCCCTTGTTATCCTTCCTAGGCGTCTCAAGGAATTACCAGTCTATGTGCTGTATCCAAATACTTTAGACTCTGCCTAAGTACACATGACAGAGAACCACTCTCCTGCTACAATGAATCAAAGGCTAACATTATTTGCAAACAAAACCATAATTATGTTTTGCTCTGTATTTTATCCAAAGAATCCAATAAAGATCAGATTCTTCTTCCCAAGACAGAAAGTTTCTCTTCTACATTTATAGAAAAAGCAACATGCTCTCAATTTTGTCATTTGCATCAGCATTTGAATCTCAGAACCTTGCTTCATTTATTGCACAGTTTCCAGACTTGCCTTTCGAATGTCAGTGGGTCTCCCACTGTGTTAAACTCCCTCCTACCTTGATTTTAAATTACAAAGGGAAAAGAAGGAAAAGAGAAGATGTCATGTTTGTGGCTGTTTGGAAGAGAAAAATATCAAGCTGAACTCCATTAAAAAAACCCAAAAAACAAAACAAAGAAAAGTCCACCCCTCCCTCCCCCCCCCAAAAAAAACCCCCAACAAACAAAAAAACAAGCAACCAAAAAAGAGAGAGAGTACTTCCAAACTTAGGATCCTTGTTTCTTTCACTTTATAAACTACTCACCTTTTAAAAGAAAAAATTTACACTCCTTTTAAAAGAAAAACAACTACCAACTATGCAGGATTAATGTTATTATCTGTTATTATCCGCAACAGTTGACTGAAGATGCCAAGAGTGACAAGTTTAAACCAACAATGAAAAGCAATTTTGTGTCAAACTTAGCACTAAGATTGTTTAAATGGCCTGCCCCTATATCTGGCCCTTATTTCTGTATGCTAGAAACAGCCTGAAGTTTCCTGTGGAACTTTGCCCATCTTAAAAAAAAAAACATTAAAAGCTTTTTGTACGGTATTATTAAAAATAGAAAAAAGAAGTTTCCAGAAAACAAAACAATTAGCAACCTCCCATTTCTATTTTAAATGTACAGATCGTATTGTTTTGTTTCAAGTTGTAAAGGCTTTAATTATTCATGGAAGACTCATGAAAGCAACCTTAGGCATTTTTGCACTTTAAAGCTGCTTATGGAAAAAATGAATGAAAATAATTATAAATCTTTCCAGTCTTAGCAAGAGCTTTGTAAGTTAAACTGGAAATTGTCCACTTTATTTCAGCTCTTCAACATGTCCTTAAAAATACCCTAAAAGAAATTTACAGTTGTCAGCAAAGTACTGCACTCACAGATCAATTACAAGCAAGTTACTCCAGACTGTTAGATTTTAAAAACAGTTATCCTTTATTTCTCTTTCCCCCTCACTCTGCTGCCTCCATCTATTTAGCTGTGCAACTAATGATCAGAGTAATTCCTCATCATATTGGCAAAAGAGCTCCTGTGCCTACTACCTTTCCTGCAGACACAGTGCTTCAAATTGTTAATAGAGCACCTGCCCCTGTGGCTTTAAATCTATAATCTCATAGAACTTCATTAATGCTTTTCTCAAATTACACTGAAGCACATCTGGTGCAAGGTTGTGTCAAATTTACCTGCGAATGTTTTTTATTTTAATGGAATAAGCTTTCCAAGAGAAACTGAAAAGTTAGGAAAGCTTTTAGAAACCTTGTCAAGGGGAAAACATATTGAAAAAAAATAAATTAATCACCATTAGAGAACAGTGTTTGATGTTTAGATTTGTCTTTAATTTAAATCTCAGAAGCAGAAGATCAGCAAGATATTTTGTGTGTGCTGTTTTATGAATCAATAAATGCAATAACAGATCTGAAAAACCACAGAAATAACACACCTTAAATAAATTCCCCCGTTGACGCTAGATAGATTCCCATCATAATGAACTGCGCCATTCAGACTGCACAGGAGCTCTGCCTTACCTGCATCAGGAACTCCCTCTTAACATCCTCTCACATCTTTTCTTTGTTCCTTTTGTTGACGACACCTGTATTGCTCCTCAACATGCAAAAGGGGTGAGGGCTAAATTTAGACTTACTGGAATATAATGTAAAAGGTTAGTTTTACTTTTTCCTGTTTATAATCAATATTCTATATTTGTCCAATTCAGTTTTCATACTTTCTGGTTTTCTTGTTTCTCCCCTTTTAAACAAATTTATCATGAACAAATGAAATGTAATCTTTTCCAAAGGAGGAATTCAGAGCCCATCATTTGCTGTCCACTTGCCTGCAATGTATTTTATATTTCAGCTTTGACCCTACAGAACACAGCTGATAAAGTGAGCATTTAATGGTACAAGTCCTATGGTGTCAAGTCCGTGGGTGGAAGTTCAGTTTTATTACAAAGTAACTTTTCACAACACTTACAGGTTGAAGCAGGTAAATCAGCGAGCACTCCTGGATAACTATCACTGGAGAAGGAGTGATATTTATTGCATGAAAAAGCGTTTCCACTGATGCCATTGTTTGGTCAAAGCGTCCTCCAAGTCCACCCAGAGCCACAATCACATCAACCTAAAAGACAGAACAAAAAGACTCACCAAGAAAAGTCTCAGGAATTATCTTTGGACTCTGAGAATCCACAATAAAATCAGTTTGAGGGAAAAAAAAAAGAAAAAACACAAACTACTGACTATAGAAAAACAAATGTCAAATACAGTTATTTACTCCCATTACTGATAAATACCATTATGTGATTTTTAAGCTGAGTATTAAAGCACCACGAATCCACAGCCAACATGTGACACTTTTTAGAAGGACATAAACATTCTCCTTAAAATACAGGCCAGTCTTTGAAAGTACTAACCTGTCTGTCCTCAATATATAGAATCTAGGACATATCACTCCACATGGAAGCTCCTTGGGTAAGTGTGGTATATCTGAGCCACAGAATCCCCAGTTCTTTACATCATTTCGTTATTATGCTCACAGTTCACAGAGCAAATAAAGGAAATATGAGATTAAACAATTATGTGTCATTCTCATTCCTGCCATACAGCATTTCAATGTACAAGCAATACCACTCAAAGGCTGGCCCTGCTCAAGATTAAAAGTAGTACCATATAGAAAGTTCTGCCCCAAGTGACTAGGACATCACCTCCCAGCTGTCACAGACAGACAGCCACAGGAGCACTCTCCAGTCCCAGTCACATCTGACTGCTTGCAATATGCCATGGAGTTGGACTGCTCCTGCTCAATTCTCTCACTCAGGTGTTCCAGACTGAACACTTCATTTTCTATAAGCAGAAAAGTAGTATACAAAAGGCTTGGTTACTCTCCAGTCCCAGTCACATCTCACTGCTTGCAATATGCCATGGAGTTGGAGCATTGAGCAATTGAGCATTGCTCCTGCACAATTCTCTCACTCAGGTGTTCCAGACTGAACACTTCATTTTCTATAAGCAGAAAAGTAGTATACAAAAGGCTTGGTTAAGAGCTTTTAGGTACTTAAATAAAAGGTAACTGAGTGCAAAGTATTATTATTATTATCACTTCCATAATGTAGATCAGTTATGTTCAGTAATTGTATTTTAAAATGCTAATGCTAAGTCACATCTAGGGCCCTAAGACATTGCAGCTCTGAAGTCTTTAGAGCTGCTTTGACAATGGCCATCTGGTTAAGTTTCCAGTTTTACAAAGCTTAAGTCTATGGTTTCTGTGATTATATGAAATTTTACTCAACCCAAGAGCCACATAATGGTGCTCTATGTATCTGGAATGATGTATTAATAGCATCAGCTTCTATTTTTATTACCAGGTCTAGGGCTTTATGATTCTGCTGAATATTGTTTTGCATGAAAATTAAGGTATTGAAGAGATATACTGTCTTTCTCATCAACACCTGGAAAATTCTTCAGAGGCCAGAGTGGATCAATATAACGTATTACACTAGCAGCAAACCGTGAAACAAAAAAACCCCTATCCTTGTACTGCTGACAGCATGTACTTTCTGTGCAGATTATAGATCACACAGACCAAATGTACAACCAAGAGAATAGGGATGGTAAGAAAACTTACCCTTAAACAGAAGACAAAATAGCAAAAGGTAAAAAGCATGTGTTTCCAGCTAAGCCATAATATCATAATATATTTTCCCTTTTATTGATTCCACTTTAGAAACAAACTGCTTTTGTTTGACTGGTGATGACTGTGAGTTAAAAGGGTGGATTGATTCTCTGAAAATAATACTACTAATATGACCCACCAACACTCATCAGTTCCCTACCAGACAGCCAGCACTAAAATGCTCCTCTCCTTCCCTAAGAGAGGCCATGGAGAAAATCAGATTTACTAACCTGGAACCACCATGAACTTAAGGTGGTTTGACAAAGGATCAGCATTCACATATATGTTGTTTTTCTTCCTAGCAATGGGACTGAAGCTCAAATATTAGCCTATCTATTAGTCTTCAAGAAACCAAGAAACTACTGTACAGTTTCTTGGTGCATATGCCTCACCATACATGAACTCGGTTTTTTTTTGGCTTTGATGAGTGGTACCAATATAAAAAGTAGGAATGAAGGAAATACAGAGTTCCTTTGACTTGGAATTGAAATGATGCAATAACATTCTAGAGATGTCTTCTTTCCCTTGTAAACCCTTCTTTGGTATTACCACACATGTGCTTCCCATGAAATACAGTACCCAGCTCAAGTTATGAAGTGCACAGAACCGCAAAATTCTGTGGCAGAGACTGCCAGATAACTGTAAGTTGAAGAAAAATGTAGAAAACCCCCCACTTCTTATATTTTCAAGTAATACAGAATCTTGCTCAAAGTCCTACTCAGTCCATTGGAACAGTGCAGTGGATTGGTTACCAAAAAGGAAGAAAATAAAATCAATACAGCATGGAGTAGTCATGTTGAAAAGGCATTCATAAACAAGAGGTATGGGGTTGAGTTGTGTTGGGACAAGGATAAGAAAGACATCTGAAAGGGGAATGTATCTATTATTTAGGGTTTGCACGGATTGTGAAAATGAAAAAAAACAAGCATGTGGCAGGTATGCAAACAAACCCAGCTGGAGTATGAGAGGAACAGACAGAGAGAAAAGCTCAAATTCTGCACTTCTATGACAGTACAGTACCACCTTTCACTGGATAATCTTGGCAGAAGTGACAAGTATCCAGACATTGTAGGACTTTTAGAGCCTTTATTTGAAGGTCTAGGCACTCACACTTTGTTTATTGAAAAAAACCCAAAAAGGCTAAGCACAACCAAAACCTCAAAAATGTTTTAATCCTAAAGCTATCACTTCTGTTGAAAAAAAGCAACCTAAAAAACACAACACGAAAATCACAAACTAACAAAAAAATCAGTTCCTTCACTGCAATCACTGCTCCTTGTCACTCTGCCAAGAGCTTAAGAAAATGGATGTGCCATGAAAGCATGTACACAACTCAGTGTCATTCTAGAACCTAAGACAAAGTGAATACCCAAGGATTGCTACATTTAGATATTTCCACACTACAGAGAAGAAAGGCCATTCATTTTTGCACTACGATTTCCTGCATACCACAGGCCACAGAATTAATCCTGTTACTGCTAATGAGCCCAGCAGGCAACATTTGACTACCACAATGTACTTCAATTGAAATGTCCAGGCTTCACTTAAATGTCCCATCACCAGTCCCCTTACACAATTTGTTTTCACACTGTGTCATTCATTTCCTGAAAAAAGGACATAAAATCATAAATAACTACGGAGAACAGCTTATATCATTGCAGGCACATTCTCTTGGACTCTATAACCTGAAGTAAAAGCATAGTATCTTTAAAGGTTATTAAGCTTTAACTTAGAAATAGTTGAAGATCTAAGGGTAGGATCCAGTCACCTTTAAAAGATACACCAATAAGTTAGCATGTCTTGAGAAAGTTTTAGAAGTCACTATCAAAGAGCAGAGTAGTTAACAGGAGAATGAAAGCACAGAGCAAGATTTTGTGCTAGCAATTCAGGGATGTATTTTTTGTTCTCCCACAAACTGTAATTTAGAGGGTGCAGTAACCAAGGGGAGCTGAGGTTCTCACCACATCAGAATGAAGTTGCTCAGGTTTCTGCTTCCACTTTCACAGAAACTTCTGAAATGGACAACCTGCTTGTAAACTCTTTGCAGGCTTGCTAAATTAAACACTGTGAAAGCTGGCCCAGCTGACATTCCTCTTTCTACTATAAATGGGTTAAATACAAAGAAGGTTTTCACTTTATGACCGAGGAACATGCATCTAAGGACACAGGAAGCTGGGAACTGCCTGGAGTGGGTGAAAAGAGAGCAATACCTAGCTTTGCAATGTCAGCATCACCATGACATGCAAGAATGAAAGTCCAATGCTCCGACTGACAGCAAATTATGCACACTCTTTTCAAAACCATACTCATTATCTCTGATAAGAAATGCTCTCCCCAGGGAGAGGACAGACAACTCAAAGGACATTGTTCCCCATGAGTTCACTTTTTGCCAGACAACTTGCAAACAAAAATGCCTAAGTCTCAGGGAGGTAACAGTCTTCAGGGTAGATGAAAGGAAACAAATTTTCTAACAACAACCAGCAGCACTGAATGAACTGCAAAGATGATCTCCCCTAAAGGAAAAAAAAAAAGGCAAGAGTGCTCAAGACCTTGTAAAAGTTCTGGAGTCATGACTAAACCTCCCCCTCCTCTGAGATCATGGAGACCACCCATTGCTAATATCCAAGATATTAGCATGCCAATTACAATTTAGATATCTGACTGGAACATAGTGGGGTTTTAGCACCTTCTCACTTCACTGAAATCCTTTCATCTCCACAGCCTTTCTTAATTTTCTAGAACTCATAAGATGATTCCTTTAATTTAATTTTAAAAGGAATATGACATAGACAACAAAATTATTGTAGTAATATGCATGGCATACTGGAAGTTTATTATATGCTGAAATATATATATATATTATATACACATATATAAGTATCTCATGTTGAAAAATGAAGTTAAGTAGTAGTGTGAATGTTACATTCATTATTGCTTTATTGGTTTGTCACTTCATCAATTTTGGGCAGTTTACAAGAAAAGCATTTTCTTCTTCATAAGGCAATTTGTCAGCACAGGATGTGGTTTAAATTATTTTCTAGTCTTTGCATCAGCTTTAGTACCAAAGACTTGAAAACATGCCAAGCACTTCCCTTGATAACAAATGGGTCAGAGTAGATTTTGACTCATTTGCCCATGGCTGTGCCAGAGCTCTAGTGCTGGCCAGATAAGTAATTTTTTTTGTCATCCTCAAAATTGCAGTGCAAATTTCATGGACTACTAAAATCCCACAATCCAATGTTAAATATGTAGCAAGATATTGTCCACTTGAATTGATTATACTGGCTTCCTAGCTCAGTGTTTTACATAAAAGGTATGAAATTCATTTCTGTAGAAACGAGATGCTGAACCACACAGCAGCATCTGAACTTTGCTCAAGTAGAATCCTCTTTACTTTAGCCAGAATTTTCTTGTTGCTTGTGACTCTTCCTGGGAACAAGAGCTCTCAG